CTTTCCCTGCCCTTATTGAATACTGTTTCCAGCTCGTGTATGAACAGAAGAATGAAGGACAACGCTGCACATTATGCTCTCTTCAGTTTAGAGAAAGAGAGGGTCTGAGTCAGGAGCCAGTGCTCTCTCAATTTCAACTTTTAGATGAGTTACTTGGTCTCAGGTATGTGGGATTCATACACAGCAAGACTGTGGTTTCACAAGCCATTTGAGGCAGTTCCAGTGTAGGCTGCTTTTGAAAGAAGTCTGTTCTTCTGCACCTTTCCCTCTGTCAGCACCTGTGCCAGGGGAGCTGCACCAGGAATGAGATCATATTGATCAATATAACATGATACAAAACAAACAAAAAACCAAAGAAAATAAAAAACCCAAACCAAAACAAAAAACCTAAACAAAACACAAACAAACAAAAAACAACCAACCAACCAAAAAACCTAACAACTCTGTTGCAGCTGGATCAGTTCCTTGATCCTGTTACTTCTGTAGCCTTGCAGCCTTAGCACAAGCCAGAAGAGAGCCAGTACTTGTGTGTGTGGTGGCAACTGTTATTTAGATAAGTCTGTCATTCAACAATTGCTTTAAGCCAAATTGTGGAAGCCATCTGGGTGGGATGTCTGAAGCTGTTATGAGAATTAATAAACTTTTCTTGCTGCTTTTATGAAGAGTAACTTTCAAAGTTATACACTTTGGTGTATGGAATTGACTTGTGATTTTTGCTGTCTGGCTGCAAGATTGTATATAAAAATGTCTCTTGGGTATGTAAGTAAAAATTTTATGAATAAGGAGAGAAACATTTATGTATGTCATGTATATTTTCAATACAGGTTTACAACTCAGTCCAGCTTCCATTAAAAGCAAGGGCAAACACTTACTGGTTCAAAGTTGCTGTCTAAAATCCTTTAATATTCTAGGTATTGCTTTTACAAATTGTCTGCATAATAACCACCTTATGACTTATGACAGTCTCAGTAGCATTACTTCTTTCTTTGACATTTTATCAGTAAACTACAGGTTTTACAGCGTATATAAGTTTGCTTTTTACACTGGCATTTCAATATGGTTTCTTAAGTATTTGAAAATTAAAGTTTTTGCTATTTGGATATTAAAATCGGGGCAACTATTTTGGGTTTCCCACCATATCCTTGGGTAGAAAGGTACAGGTGGATGCATGTTTCTGTTGTGTAGTAACTTGGTTTTCTTTGATAACTTGTTTGCATGACAAAACCAGATATTTTAACAGGTGAGTTTAATATTCTAATCTTCTGACTTTTTTTTTCTTTAGGTTGCAGCAATCTATAAAGATTCAAGTATTGGAAATCTTATAAATATAGTTATTGTAAAATTAATTGTAATTCACAATGAACAGGTAGGAAAAATAAATATTAAAAATTTCTTTCTAATAGAAGAAACAAAAACCATGAATTTACATTGTAATTTCAAAGCTTAACTTTTTTTTAGTTTTAGATACAAAATATTTTCTTTAACTATTAGATTTTATTTTAAAATAGGAGACTAAATGCCAAATATGAGATTAGTTGCAGAACCTTGCTTTAAGACTGTAAGAGTATACACTTTTCAAATACCTGTTTTTTGTATTTATCATTTATCTTGTCACTGTATTTAAAAAAAAAAAAAAAAACAAAACACAAAAAACCCACAAACAACAAAAAACACACAGTGCATGGTCACATACATTGATTAAAGTAGTGAGTTCTCATGACCAATGACTAGTAGCTAAATTAACATCTGATCTTACAAACACGTGTGTGTGAGCTAACTCTTACATGGAGTCCTGCTGACTTCCTTTTCACGCACAGTCATTGTTTTGCAGGTTAGGGGCACAAAAGACAAAGTGCAAGCGCATTAATGTTAAAATCCTTACATGCTTTTTTTGGCCATTTCTTGCCTAGGAAGGACCAGCTATCACTTTTAATGCCGCTACCACTCTTCGTAATTTTTGCTTATGGCAGCAAGCACAGAACACTTTGGATGATGCTCACCCTTCTCATCATGATACTGCTGTTCTTATTACTAGGTACAGTACCTGAAATAGCCATAATTACTCAGCTTGGTGAGACCAATGCCTCAGGTTTTTCACATCACTTTTTTTAACCCTTCCACTGATACTGCAAGATAGTCTTTATTCACCTCAACTGCCTATCTTGCAGTTCCAAGACCACTGATTATCACTATGTGAGCAATTATTCTGGCAGTGCTATGTTGGTAGCTAACCATCTGAGCTGTTAAAAATGTTGGAACTTGTGTAGACCTGAAATTGCGACAAGGAATTGAAGTCTTTAGCCATTGTACATATACGTGATAGGGTGAGAGTGTGGTACATTGTGGAACCAGCTGAAGGGATGCAGTGGTGGTCAACTCATGATAGCCCAGACGTAATTAGAAGTGCCAAAAGCTTACAAATGGAAAATATTTCACTGTTAGTATATATTCTTCCTGTACACTGTCTCAGTGAAGGTTCTGATGCACAGTCACTGAAATACATTCTCTCTTTTGCTGTTCTTATTCATTATTCTTTCCCTCCGGTGTTCAAGTTGGACACACTCCAGCACCTCAAACTGTTTGATATTTGTCCTGAATTTGATCTTGTCATTTTAGCAGATGGTCCTCTGCATAAGGAAGTTTCAAATGTATTGCAGTCTGCATGTTTTTCAGTAGCTTTTCATGCCTGATCTACTTTCTGCATTGTAGAGGAATAACATAGAAAGCTATGAGCATGGTCTGGTGAATTTAAATTACTTCTTACAGTCGATTCAAACAATTTGTACTCTAGTGAAAGATTAAAAATTGAGAATCAGCTTTGCAATTGCTGTAATTCATAAATGTTCATTTATTTGCTGTAATAATTTTAAATAAATCTTTTCCTTCAAGGGAAGATATCTGCAGAGCTAGAGAGAAGTGTGATACACTTGGTAAGTCAATCTTTTTTAATCAGTATAATTTTATAACAGAAAATACATGAGAATTTCACTGTAGGGAGAAAAATAAATTAGGAGTAAATCATCAAATAGATGCAAAATTTAAGTTGCATGGACAAAAAAAAAAGCCAACTTCTCAATGCTGTTCTGCCCTGCCACATACTTTGGTGCAAGGTGGCTGGTTATTTTGTGTAAATTTGCTGCATAGTTGAGGCATGACTTTCAACTTGGGTGCCGTAGTATTCATTTATAGAGTCACTCCTTCTACATAAAAGCTCATTCTGTTAAGCTGTTGTATAAGGATTCACTTTTGCAGGTTTAGCAGAGCTAGGGACAATGTGTGACCCACTGCGCAGCTGTTCTATAAGTGAAGAAAATGGGCTGAGTGCCGCTTTTACCATAGCGCATGAGCTTGGACACGTGTAAGTACCTATTTCCCAGCAGGTAAATTTGTTTTCATTTCCTCTTGAATACGACCAATTTCCAGTGATAGGCTCTATAACTTTAAAAGGACATAGTCTGTTACATCCTTTTAGAAGATAGGTTATTTTTGCACCTTGCAGTGAGTGATCTCTGCCCACCACCTTGAGGTGGAGAAATTGTGACTATTATAACCTGGTTGGTAGCCTGGATGAAGGGAAATACTGGCCATACAGCTGTGTTCTGTCCTTTTGTCATATGAACTGCTTGGGACACTGGGACAGGATTCTTAGGTGTGCAACATACTTCTGTTAACTCCGGTTGCATTCTATCCCTAATAGGCATTTACCTTTAAGAAAAGACAATTGTTAATATAACGCAGAAATATTCTTCCTTGTGTTTGATCCTTTCAGAGTACAATAGAGTAACACAAAGAGAGATACTTTACACAGAAAAATAAGAGGAGATGACAGCATTTTATTTTATGAAGCATACCTCATCAGTGATGGCAGAAAGGTGCTATACTCTAGCTCCATGAGGCATGCCACAGTGTAGGTAACGACAACGTTACAGAGCTCAGTAGCTAGCTTGTTGATTTTCATGTGCCTGGAAGCTCATTTAGATACTTGCCATTTGTCATGATCCTTAAACTGAGATATAAAATAAGACAATGTGTTAGTTGCATAAATATGTTGTTGATGTGCTATGAATTTTGCTTTTGTAACTGAATAGTGAGACTTAGGATGTGAATATTGGGGTAATATGTTACAGACAATCTAGTGGTAGCCTATAGATTCAGTTGAGGAGATGGGTTGTTCATTTAAAGTGACATACTCCCAAAACACTGGATTTTTTTCTGGTGAGCTAAAGATCTGTGTAATTGTAAAGTTCTTCATGTGCCCAGCATTATATAGTTAGGAGCGTTTTGGATAAGGAGACAATTTTGTAAGGCATTTTTAAGATACCTATTACCATAACGTCAAATAGTCATACTAAGTGAGTCCTGATAAGTTTTAAGGCATTTTCAAATTCAAAACTCAAAGCATTTGCTGCTACAACAAAGAGAGTTTCAATTAAATATTGCTGAATTTGTTTTGGAGTTTGTCTGTTTTACTTTTTAGATTTAATGTGCCTCATGATGACAGTTTTAAATGTAAAGAAGCTGGAATTAAACATCAATACCATGTGATGGCTCCAACTTTAAATTACCATACAAGTCCATGGACCTGGTCAAAATGCAGTCAAAAATACATCACTGAATTTCTTGAGTAAGTATCAATATAATATAAGTTTGTTTGTTTTGTTGTGTGTTGGGTTTTTTTTTTTTTTTTTTTTTTGTTTAACCTGATTTCATGTCTTTCAGAGAAGTATTTTAAACACTTCAATACCGTTTCTGTGTTGTTTGTAGATTTAACCACTGACTTGTAGGGCCTCAGTCCTCCAGAAAAATATATTTATTTAACTCTTTGGATGATTCGTGATTTCGTTAAAGTTGCATTCAACATATAAAGCTAAGAAGTTTTTTATTTTTTTTTAATGCAAGTGTTGTGTCACCAGGCTCCTAATGAATTAAGAACAATTTATTCACCTTTTTTCCTGTTTTTACAGTACGGGCTATGGTGAATGCCTCCTAGACAAACCTAGTGGAAGAATATATGATCTTTCTTCTCAGCTGCCTGGGTCAATGTATGATGTCAACAAGCAGTGTGAACTTATGTTTGGTCTTGGCTCACAAGTGTGCCCGTATCTGGTGAGTGAACAACACACAAAATCATGTTTAATCTATACTAAAAAAGTTTCTGGAAGGTAGGTTTAGAAATGAAATTTCAGGACTTCTAGGTTTGGAAGAATTTTATCCTGAAATATGTCAAAGTTCAGGTTCTATTCTGCTGAAGGAGAAAGAGTTCAGTGGAGAGCATTGCGGCTCATTATGCTAGAAATATGAGAGTAAAATGTAGGATGCATTAATTTTGATTTGCATGTCTGTGAATGTGATTATAATTTTTTTGAAAGATCTAAAGCTGCATTGATTAAGGCTTTCTGCAACTACTGAAAGGGAGTTACTTCAACACTTTCTACAAATGTTTTCACATTATAGCTCCTACATTACATTAACAGATCTTTCTTACCTACTTTTTTTTAGTGTTTTTAAAAGATAGATAGGTTGAAATTCAATACCTTAAGTCAAATATTTGTTCTAAATGTTTAGTCCAAAATGTAGATGCCCTCTACTTTGTCAAAAAGTCAAAAAATGTTTTCATGCCTCTTAGAGTGTACATTTTGTATACTTAGACAAAAATTTCTTTAAAAAGCAAAATTTGGATCTGGTAAGAAAACTTGAGTAGGTTAATATTGAAACTTAAGTTGTGTTTTGAAAACTTCCTGTGTTCGATGCAATATAAAATGAATACAGCATTATGACTTCAGTACTGTCAAGATGTCCTGTAGATTTAGATTTTGGACCAACTTGTCAAATACCTGTACTAGTATTGCTTAGCTTATTTGAGCTGTTTAAAGGAGAGAATTAAAGATCAGATTTAGACTGACATAAGCGGAGCTTTTCGTGAGGCGAAATATTTAGGAGGAGTTGGACTTGATGGGAATATTATAGAAAAGTAAAGGGGGATTCAAAGACCTGAAGGTGGTGTTATTGAAGACTACTTTGTAAATATTGTAATCCATAAAGGTTGTTTGTCCATTAAGAGTCTTTCAACAATTTGAAAAGGAGTATTTCTTCTTAATTTTCTAGTCAGTGTATTTTTAAGAAGAATTCCAGTTAGTCTTTTTCTGGTCATCATAAGTAAACTGTGCTGCATGGTACGATCTGTAGCCCTTTACATACTTTTAAATTAAATTTTCTGCTGAATTAGAAAATGAAGTTATCTGTTGCTTCTAATGCGATCAGTTTCAAATATTCCATTCCTGCATGGCCTTCAGCAATACCCCATTTTTTGTGGGGTTTTATCCATGAAAAATGGTAGCACTAATAGCAAACACTAGGTCTGCATAGTAGGAGAAAATGATACAAATATCCCAACTGATGTCTAAAATGCTGTTACAGGCACAACAGAAGTAATCTTGTTTTATTTTTAGAAACAATGCAAACGCTTATGGTGCACAAGCACAGAAGGTGTTCACAAGGGTTGCCGTACTCAGCACATGCCTTTGGCTGATGGAACAGCTTGTGGTGTGGGAATGGTAAGCCTTCATCCATTTCTAGGTATAAAGAGAATAAACTAGAGTTTTAATTTTGGATTTGTGTGTTGTTTGGGAAGTGAACAGAAGTTAGGTTCTTGAGTTCTTTGCTGATCCAGTCTTTGGCTTCTCCCTCCAGTAGTTCAAGAGAAAGTGGGAACTGTCGGAGAGAGTCTAACGGAAGACTACAAAGATGATTAAGGGGGCTGGAACATCTGTGTTACCAGGAAAAACTGAGCAACCTGTGTCTGTTTAGTCTGGAGAAGAGAAGGCTGAGAAGGGATTTGGTCAATTTTTATCAATATTTGAAGGTTGTGTGTCAAGAGGATGTGGCCAGTCTCTTTTCAGTGGTGCCCAGCGATAGGACAAGGAGTAATGGTCACAAGCTGGAACACAGGGAATTCTACTTAAACATCAGGAAAAACTTTACTGTTAGGGTGACAGAACACTGGAGCAGGCTGCCCAGAGAGGCTGTGTAGTCTCCTTCTCTGGAGGCTTTCTAAACCCACCTGGACATGTTCCTATGCAACCTGCCTTAGGTGTGAACCTGCATCGGCAGAGGAGTTGGACTAGAAGATCTCTGGAGGTCCCTTCCAACCCCTACCATTCTGTGATTCTCAGCATCTCAGTTCACCACCGGCACATAGAATTATTTTCTTACCTGCCAGGATTGTGAGAATAATGATTTCAGAGTTTTTTTACATACTCAGATATGACAGTAATTATCTTAAGTATGTCTGGTTTTTGTTGAGCTGCTTTTAATAGTAGTGTGTTTTGGCAGCTTCAAGGACTGTGGATGCAATATTACCTTTTTAGATTGGTTTATAGGTTCAAAGATGATTAAAGTAATATCTAGTGTAATTTTTTTGTATAATAGGCTGCCACATTTCACTTAGTTATTACTAAATTTCCCCCAATAAATGTTAACCTTTACAGATCTTTTTTTTTCTTTTCCTGTGTTTGGTAAGACAGCGGTAGTGAGGAATTTCAAACTACTGTCCTAATGGATAACAATTTAGTGGGTAAACTGTTGCAAATGGTTTCTTGCTCTCTTGCAAGATTAGGAAAAGTTATTTCAAAGTTGCAGTAGAAGCTTTGCTTGATTAAACCCTATGCATGCAGCTGGTCTTAAAATGTTTAACCCGTTTTTCAGTCACTGATCAGAAAGCAAGTTCATCTTTTATATAAACTTTGTGTGTAAGCCTTAGTTCAATTGACTTGACTCTAATTTGCCAACATCAGAGGGCTTCTTTTATATAAGAATACAAAACCCTATTTTATGTAATTAGTGCAGTGAAACTAGTTTTCTCTAGGAAGTGACGAGCTAATTACAGTCATTACTTCTGAAAGATGTAAGGAAGAACAGCAATTAATCTGACAAATTGTCATCTGTTCCTGTCTAAGGGACAGCTCCTTTCAAGCTCAGTCAGCAAGTTTCTGCTGATGTTAATGGGAATAAGATATGGCAACTGGTAATTGTAATTAATATTTGCTTTCAAGCTAAGTAATTTTACACTTGGCGTTTGCAGCAATATGGCTGTAATGGATACAGAAAAGATCTATTTAAGGCATTTGTGATTTTAGTATCAACTTTTCAGGCTTAGATTTGACATGGAAGTTTACTTTCACAATAGTCTTTAATTTTTCTTCAGGTTGCATGTTTTATCAGTGGATTGCTCTATGAATTGCTCTGACAGTCCTTGTATCTTTTCTTCCCCCCAAATACAAGAAGATACAAATCTTAACAATATCAAAGACACTCAAGTGAACGAGCAAACAGTGCCTTTTTCTGAGGGCCTGTGATCCTAATGGAATATCTTCTTGCCATATGCAATATATCAGCATGCATGCATTTTGAAACAGAATTGGTTTGTGTTTCTTATGGTGCAAACACCTGTAGAGCTTGTTATGTGTATGTATATATAAAATTAGTGGCAGGTACAGGTAGCATCTTCTTAAAATATTAGAGGGAAAATGCAGCCTAATGTTCTACTGTCTTAGAGAGAATAAAGAAAACCTTTTCTTAGGAATTTGAACACTTCCTTTATTAAATGCGTAGAGTTAATGTTATTAATTATCTAGAATTAATATTACTAAACAAAAAAGCTTCCACTTTTTCTTCAGTTTTCTCTCTAGTAGATTTTTTTAGCCTATCAAACTCTATTTTTTTCCATCTTAGAGTTACCTGTGAAAATGAATTGTATTTGCTTTTTGGGTTTCTGCTAACATATCTGAAAATTTCTCTTCACCTTCTCTTTTTGTACATTCGGAGTGCTTAGGTCTGACACTAGCCTGTAAGTAGCAATTCTGCTGCATCTGGGAACAGTTTTTACACACTCTGTCTCATCCCTTCAGGTGCTTTTTGCTTGCCTGCTTGGGTTCAAAAAGATCTGTAGGAAGGCTAAGCTTCTACCAGCTCTTCTAATCACACAGACCTTCCCTGGAGCTGAGGATGCAGCCTTTAAGTTCTTTTGCCTGATGGGTCCTTCAGAGACAAAATAATAGTAAATAAGTCAGGCATGCTGTATGTAAACATTTACTATTTTTGCGGTGAAGAATTTTTATGTGCCATAGGACTACATCAGTCATTCCTTGAAAGTGTTTCTGGTGTTCTATTGTGGGAGAGATATTATTAAATACAAAGGTAAACATTCTTGAATTGTCTTCCTAAATACACTTATATAACATAGGCACAATATAAAGTTTTTCTTAAAATGCTATTTTTGTGTAATGTGACCTGAAGAATGAAGTCTTCAAAGTGAAGAACTGTGCCATGCGATTAGTCGGAGGTCGCCTGCTCACTGTACAGTTGTAATTTTTGTTGTGATAGTATAAACCATGTGTACAAATCAGAACATAATAAATCACAGTAAGAACAGTATGTATATGCTGCATTAAGGACCAAGTTACCAGAGGAGGCCTCTAGGTATTACAAGACATATGAGAGAGTTCTTTTCTGGAAGGATGGAAACTAGAATGCTTTAATTGGCTCAGTTTCCTTCTCTTAACCATCATAATTCTTGTGGCAATCATGTTCCAAGAGCAGCTAATTTGATGGATGTTTAGGAAATGTGAACAGCTTCGAGCAGATCTTTGTCCCACTTCCTCTTTTTGCATACTAGAAAAAATTTCTTTGCACTTTGAAATTTCTGCAGATCAGTAAGCTCTTGGTATTATCTTTTTGGATTATGTTTTCAATCACTTTCTTTTCTTTAACTATCTGTTTCTTTTATTTTTTGGGAGACTCTTCAAGGTTTTCTGTAGTTAGGAATTTACTTGCGTTTCTGCTCTGGAATAGTACAAAAGATTTCTCCTCATCTTGAGCATAGGAAGTTTTGGGTTTTTTTCCTTTATTTCTGACATTCCAAAGAAGTGAGTTTGGAGAGTGATTCACATTTTGGCCTGTTGAATATCTTTGTTCAGGTTTTAAAAACAAGAAAACCAAAATGTAAAATAATTTTAATAGTTAGAATCTCTAGATTTACTGGATTTGTTCATAATACTAAATCTACAGGGTAGTGTTTTCTCAGTGTGTTTGATGTCAATCACAGAAAATCCCATTTTATAGAGGACCTAATTAAAAGGAGAAGTAAACTAGAAGTATTACGGAAAAAGAAATATCTATACTTCATGTGTAACTGAATTTGTTACTAGCCAACTGATATACAAACTTTCTATACACATATCCATCTCCAGCTTATATCTGGTTCAGAATCATGTCTTCTGCATAATCAAGTCATGCAGTTTTTAGCAGCGTCATTTACATGATAATCCAGTAACAGGAACTCATTTCTTGGAGTTGGTGATGCACATCTGAGCCAAGAAAAACACCTCCAAAGAAGAATAGTTGGTGAAACTATCTATCCTTCTAGGGGTGGCATTCTCAGAACAAGCTTTTTTGCAATGAAAATTAAAGCAAAAATACTCATGTGTTTTTATTAATAATTATTTTTTGAGGCACTGAAAAGAATTATGCTCTGATCCTTCCTGGATGTCCTGGACAGTAGATAAATATACCCATATTCCATTGATTCCTTGGTCATTGGAATGGAGTGGTAGGAGTTAGCAAGTAGCTCTGTGATTCTGACTCAGACTTTTCCATGTCCTTGTGCTGTTCCCGGTGTTCTACACAATGGCAGTTTGCTACTTAGACACTGGGGAAAAAAAAATGTCAGAGAAGTCTAGAAAAAGCTGTTCAACACCAAGAAGGAATCCACGTGATACAAATAGCAGTCTGACTGGAAAGCATGTGCCTTTGTGTGTTTGGGAGGAGTGTTCTTTACCTCTTTTCACTGTAGATAGATACTGTATATTGAGCTAGTGTCTCTAAGAATATCTGGAATAGCTACGAAATTAATTAAATTTTCATCCTAGTCCCTTTATAACCATATAGAAGGATACTGGGACAATTGAGAATGGGGATGCAGACCAACAAAGAATTGCTGTGATCAGTAAAAGAAGGACCAGTTTCTGATTCTCGAGTATATTTGCTGTTCTTCAGTTATAGGTTACTACCCGTGTATTGATTTCTTTTAAAAATCATTGCATTGCTTGACTGCCTCGTGAATGTGATACATGAAGATGGCATATATGTGAAGTAAGTGTAAAAAATTTGGATGAATTTTAACAGAGTTGGTTGATAGGAGGATGTGTTAAGCATCTGGGAAGCAGCAGATCTTTTGAACTCTAAAACCAGACTAAAGTATATTTAAGGGCTCAAACCAAGATTTTTTTTTTACTATAAACTGGGATTTTTGTGAAATGCTTTTCTGATGAGTTGTGATTTCAGAAAAATTAAGTTTCCTGTGGGAATATTGCAAGGGAGAAAAAAGAATATAGATTTTTCTTTTTTCAAGGAAAAAAAAAAAAGAAAAAGTTGGAAAAAATTACTAAATTTTGTGGGTTTTGTAGATAACGTCACCTGAGTAATAAATGTAGGCTTGTCTGAGAATCCTTGCTCCAGAGGGACAGAGGAAATGCCATAATTACACTTTAGTTAAGCATTTCTCCAAGCTCCTTTTCTTCTGTCTTGTATACTCCTTTTACTAACAGCTCTACTTTGGCTGTCATTATATGCTCTAGGCCCCACTTCTCATTTTGGCTCTTTGAGCAATGTGGTCTCTTGACTGTGTGTATTATAGGAAGAAATTGTGTGCAGGTATAGATGTAATCATGTGCAGCAAAATGTTTCCTTACATCAGCTTGCACCAGCCAAGGCAGAGAGAGGTCTGCAGCAGTACATTCATTCATAGCAGTGAATGGGAACACCCCATAAACTTAAATAGAGCCAGAGACAACAGCTTGTGACTCCTTGTGGACTTTGGCATTCATCTGAGTGGGTGTTCTTATCTTCACACCCTGCTCGTGGGGTTACATGGTGAATCTATGTAACTTGCAAGATTCATATTCCTTTCTCAGCTCCATGTGATTGGAATCTGCTTTGAAGCAGTTGATGCTCAGACCTCAGCCATAGGCCAGGTGCTTTATAGTGAACTGATCTTGTGTTGCAGTCATTCTCAGGGCTCTGGCTGGCTATCAGGAGCAAAAAATTGTATTTTATAAGGCAAAAGAAATCAGAACAATAAAATTGGATATTTGGAAGGCAAAATGCAGACCATCGTGTCCATTTCTGCAGTGCTTTGTCCTTTTCCATTTTCTCCTCCTACTTGTCTTCGGTGTTCAGTCATCTTTCATTTTAGAAGTACCAGCACTTTGCAGTAGCATGCATGGAAACGTGTTGGTGTCTGGAAATAGATGAATAGTTTTTTTTGAGCCTCCGTTTCTGTAAGGCTAAAAGAGGCTCCAACGCATGAAACTATGACCTCATAGACAGAGCATCAGTGTTTCAATCTTTGCCCCAAGATCTTCAAGACCCATGTGTATCTCTGGGAGTAGTCTGGAAAATGTAGGCACTAAGAGTGAACTTGGAGTCCATCTCCAGCTGTGAGTCATACCAGGCTGTATGAAGTACTTGATTTCAGAAGAGTTCTACTTCTGTTCTGTGTGCATCTGTCATTCTTCTTGATTCAGTCAAAATTGAGCATAGCCTGCCAATTAATGCTTTAATAATTTCTCCCAAAATTGCTTTCCTGGAAATCTCTCAAGTTCAAAAAACTATGAGGTAAGTTGGAAGTACCTGAAATCAGTTTATCAAACCATAGCTTAATCCATAGCTAAGAGTCAAACTGCTTATTATAAACTGGTCGTTGATGAATACAAACCTGGGTACTTGTAGGTTCATTGATACCAAATTTGAGTAACTCTCCCTCTCATCTCTGAAGATATAATAATTACAAGCAGATTTGGGTCAAAATTCCTGCCTTTTTGAAAGAAAACAAACTTGTTGACCTTGGTTAGAGCAGAACTGCCACTTATGGCAATCAATATGTTTGGAATTACAAGTGATACCCACTCTACATGATGCATACATTACATTTGCCATAAGAAATGTAGGAAAAAAGTTGATAGTTAGTGGTTATACTTAAGTTTATGAAAGTTCTATATATCACAGTATTCTCACTGAATTAATGATTCAGTCAGGCACAGAGAAACATCTGGAATGCGTCTGGTGCTGGAGTTTTCTACTGTGACTTCATCATGTTGCTTCTGTAGGAATGCAGCAGAATAATAGCTAAGACAAGTTTTTGGAATAAGCTATTAAAATCCCATATGTGAGCATGTGCTTTGCATTTTTATGGATCAAAATAATGATGTTGTGGGTGTAAAATTTCATCTTACAACTCTGTCATTTCCTGAAGTCTCCCTTCAAGTTATTGTAAATGTTTTGGTGGATGGAAGAACCACTAAACTCTAGGTCACTGTCCCATGCTTGGATGCAGCATTCATTTTATGGTGGGAAATTTAAAATCTTCAGCCTATAGCAGTAAAATATTATTTCTTAAGATGCTCATGACAGTTCTTAGAGAGGCAAGCTCTTAATGTTTCTTCATACTTACCTTATTGCTGCAGATTGTAAAACTCTTATCTTTTGTTACTAGTTACTAGATGCCAAGAACTAGGATTGGGTACAAAGGTAGCCTAAGGGCATCTTGAAAACAAAAGCTAACAGCACTGCAGTGAGAAATCATATGAAGATATTCAGTGAAATAAGTGTCTTTTTGGTGTTAAGTTAAAGCATTAGTCTTAGCATCAAGTGATGATTTGTTCAGTTTGCTGGATCATATAAATAGTTGTATGAGAATATAAATCTAGCTTTTGTTCAGTGTTTTCTTTGGGCTTGAAAATCAGCTTGAATGGTCATATTCTTAGAGGAAGGCATTCAGGGCTTAAATGATATGGCCCATCTGCAAGAGTTGATGTGGATCAGGAATGCAGGCAGAACTCAGAAAGGAGAATCTTATTCTGTGACAAATTCCTATTCTGAGAGCAAAATGATTGTTACCATATGAGCATAATTATCAATATAGTAAAAGCATATATTAATGAGGAGAAAATTGCTTCTAGGAATTACTTAATGTAGTGATAAAACCACTGAATAACATTTGAGTTTTGTATCATTCAGGTATATACAGAAAGATTGCACACATAAATTCTCTGTGTTAAGCAAAATTTATGTTAATTGATAGTATCTTAAATAAATTTGTTATGTAATAACTCTTGAGAAACTCCATGAAACATTTAAATTAGTTTTTTTCCACCCAAAAAAAAGGGTGGAATCCTTAAATTATTTTATCTTCTGTGTATCAGAATTTCTTAAATTGTTTTATGTGCCAGAAAATTTAGTTACCAAAACCCTTCTAGACTTTAAGGTAATTCAAAGCTGTTTTGTGTTACAGAGAGCAGAGAGGCAAATCCTAGTCTTCAGAGTTAGTAAGCAGCTGAGTTTATATAATCTGTTCTGATGATTCTAGGGACTGATTCATGTACATGGTGCAGGGGAAGATGGAATAAACCACACCCTGTCAATACAACTAGGAGAATCCCTCCTAACCATAAGCCTAATGATCAGTCTAATCCTGAGTTTGCAAACAGTCATCTAAAATAAAGAATTCTTTCTGTTATGTATGAGCACTGACCCCATGTAGTCCATTCTGCCCAGTGTCTTGTCTCCACATGTGGGCAGTCTTTGATGCTTCAGAGGGTGTTTGGAGTCCAGGACAAAGATGAGGACACATTATCCACATAGAAGTCAGCAGGAGACATAGTGCTGATGTTACGGTATCTTGTAAATATTCTGGTTTAGTATATAAACTAATCCAATATGTTGTGATGAAATATACCACTTGGAATTTTCTAAAGCATACAAGTAAAACCAGAATTCCAACTGCCATAAGTCATCAATAGGATTAGTTTTGGTAATTCCTGAAGGTTCTCTGGAAGAAGTCACACATGTACCAATCATAAGATTCTCATTTATACTTTTTTTTTTATGTACTTTTTGAGTAACCACTGAACTGGATAAATATTTGCAGAGTCAGGGACTTAGTAAATAACTTTGAAGCAAGAGATTGATCACTTGATTATTCTGAAAAAAATAGCTGGTCATGACAACTTTCTATAAATAACAACAGTTTCCAGGTATGGGATGGTGAAGTCTCATAACCAGCATAGCCACAACACAATAGTCTTGCAATCTTTGGCTTCCTAGTAATAAAAATTCTAGTAGATTAAGTGAAAATTGCACTTTTATCTGAATTTTTAGTTGTAAATAGGTAGCTCCTCAGCAGGA